ACTATTTAACATGTAAATAAAATACATAATTTATATTTGCTTTTATCCATTTGCTAATCAATGCAATTTAATTTGTCAACCTTTTTGATTATAATGCTTTTGTCAAATCAAATTGTATTATGCTTTAGCCACTTCATTTTTTCTTCGCTCTCTTTCTGCATATTTTCTATATAGAAAATTGCATTTACATTCTGAGCAAGTTATAGAAATGCTTAGAAATGTGTTCATTTATAACATTTGCTTAAGATATCACTTTCAATTTAGCTGCATATGCAAATCTTCTACAATATTTCAGTCATTCCTTTATGAAGCTATTTTTCTTTTGTTCGTTGCCCAACACTATGCATAGCTGCTGCTTATTCTCCTGCCTCCCCTTCGCACTCTGCTATTGCTATTGTAAGAATCTCAGACCAGATTACAATGGCAACATCTTCTTGCCTCGCTTGCTCAACTCGTTTACACCCGAAAAAAAAAAAAATAAATAAAACAAGTAAGAAGGCTCCAGTCGAGACTGCTCGACTAGGAGATACCCTGAACCCTCCAAGCTGATATTCTAATCAGTCTGGACTTCTTTTATGCACACATACATACACATGCACTTATAAGCACGCGCTCTGCTGACTGCGCAGTAAGCAGCGGCTGCGCTTGGGCTGCGCTGCAATGTGGGCAATATTATGAGAATTTATTTGTTGAATAATTTCTTTTGTAGACATACGATCTTAATGAAACTTTCAGAGCGTAATCATATGGTTAAAATATGTGTACATTCCAAAGCACAATTCTCTAGTACTTGAAATGCGTTTTTTACAAATTGGGGGCGAAGGGGGCGTGGTATCCAAAATCTGTAAATGACAAAATCTATGTATCCATTAACTTTATATACAACGCAAATTTGAAGTCTCCAGGTCTAAAAGTGTTCAAACTAGGCTGAAAAAACCAAGTCGATTTTTCGATTATTCTCGATAAAAAAGTTATCGGATGAGTTATCGAAAAAATAAAGCAAACTTGTACTGCCTATGGTATACACGAGTATGCATGCCAAATTTCAGCTCTCTAGCTCTTATATCTTCTGAGATTCTTTTGCTCATACGGACGGACGGACGGACAGACGGACAGGGCTATATCGACTCAGCTCGTCGTCCTGATCAAGAATATATATACTTTATGGGGTCTGCGATGATTCCTTCTGCCTGTTACATACTTTTCACAAAACCATTATACCCTGATTTCCCATTTTCAATGGGTTCAGGGTATAAAAATGTAGAAAAAAGCTAAGCTCTCATGACACACATACCAGTAGACAGCACGCCCTCTACTACTACTTCTACTGCTGGTGCTGCTGGTGCTGCTGCTGCTGCGGCCCACAAAATTTATTATCATGTAAAACTTTTGTGCAACAATGCGACAAACACAAAAGCCCAGCGAGCTCGCGGCTACTGTGCCAGCTGCGAAGCCAACTGATAGGCGGCGCCCCCTGCCTCAGCTCACTGCGACAGCAATTTGTTCTAGTTGATAATTTATTTGAATATTTGGCTTAATTATAAAAACAAAAACCAAAAAATATATAAAAGAAAAATGTTGCAACAAGATCTCTTGTGCATTTTATGCAATGTATTTGTGAATTATTTTATGGAATGTATCTGTGAGATACAAAACTGGTCAAGTAAAGTGCTGGGCGTTTAAGTCTACCAAGTGGCTGGCATTGAGCTCGTACTAATCACAGACAATAGCTCGAGTGCAGGTAAAGGAAATTTATGGCAATGATATAACGAATATTTGATGCTCTATAAAAAATATATATGATTATATATATGATATAATATTAATATAAACAGCAGGCTGTATTTGATTGACGTATTATTGTTCACTGTATAATATATAAAGGATATATGATATAATAGATAAATATATTATAATTATTTGAGTTTTAATTTGATAGAATATTCAAATATTTATTAGAGTAACATAATAGAGATGGAGATAAATAAAGTATTTAAATACAATTTAAAGCTTAGCAGTATGAGTTATATAAAAACGGGTATGAGTTAGATACCCGTTGAAATTATATGAAAACTCGATATTTAAACGAATAAGTAGAAATATATTTTAATATAGTAGACAGGGAGTAAAAGTAGAATATATACCATAATTTATACTTCTTAGATACTATATCATATTATAATCATATATAGATCGGTAAGAATCCGTTTGTAGCTCGAAGCTTTGCGCTTTTTCATGAATTCATATCTTGATTCATATGAATATTTGAATACCCTCTCTGAAGAGTATGCTATATGATTGTCGCTAATTAGCCCCCTTCTTGCATGACTAGACAAGCAGAATAAGCAGCTACAGATGCCCAAGGCAGAACCCCGTCGCGGCATTCTCTAACTTCCAACAATCGAGTCGAAAAAGACAAATGATATGCTTAGCATTGAACGCTGACTCAACTAATTTGATTTGGTCTGCCGTCGAGCTAGAGTGAGAGAGGGATTTGTGGCAAGCATTTAAATGCGAGCTGACGACCACTTAAAGTCGATTAACTGAGAGTCTCGTCCGGACAGCAGACCTTCCAAGTGATCCCGAAGTCATCCCCTTGCGCCCCGTTTACTCCCCTAGCCTAAGTCGTCTTGATTATAATTTCTGGTTCTATAATTTTTGTACATGGCAGCTGTGGCAACCTGGGCAAGATTCACGCCGCAAGCGATTCAAATCAAAACGTGCATACAAATTTCTATGCTTTGTGTGCGCCACGCCCTCTGGCTGCCCCTCCATGGGCAGCGCTTGTGTATCAAACAGTAGCGGCATATTCATTAATCAAAGAGCAGCAGTCCATTCGGGTTTGCGTACTCCCAGGGGGCCAGCTACGTATTAGTTACACTTTAGCAGGGGGCGGATGGGGGGTACGATGACGCTGACGACTGGAACTTGAAGATCGGAACTTATGGCTATTACGAGTACTTGGACAGCCTTAAAGAGAAGTTGATCTGATCTTGGCTTGGCTTGGGTTTGGTCTGTTGGGTTGGGTCAAGGTATAAATGCCAAGCTGAGCTCATCCGAACGAGCAAGCGATGCGTCTTCTTCTTAAGTGCTGTTCGCTAGGCGTGGCTGACAGCCAGACGCCAAGGTCAAGGATTTATTTTGAGACAACACGCGTTATCGAATCATGCATGAATCAGTGCACTTTTCATATGTTTGCTAATCAAAAGCGCTTATACATATCCTTCCTTGGCAAATAGCTAAATAAATTCATGCAAATTTTATTTATTTAATAAACAAGACAAATGTGGAGGGGTAAACGTACGCCAACAAGGACAACGACAGCAACGATGACGAGACGATGACAATAGCGTAGACAGAGCTAAAAGAGCGTTGGGTGAGGGAGCTACACAATGTTTATTGGCAATTCGTTGTAACAACTGTTGATAACTGGAGAGTATAGCTATGCATAGCTATGCCTGTTAATGGATACTAACGAGTCGTCTGTTCAGTGTCCATTGTCATCAACAGCCACATCAGCTCACATTGAGTCTCGAGTGCCAGCTGCGGCCTGTTCATGTGTTTGCTAATGGCAATTGAGCGAGACTCGCCGCGAACTTAAACTTAATAATAATACAATAATCTATGGGCTAGTCGTAAAGGAATACAAGTATTACACTGTGAATGTATAAATAACTAAAGGCTACACGTGGAAGGGGACGCTTAGGAGTGGAGTAAACACAAACAGCTGAAGAGCACTTCAAGAAAAATATATAAGTACATACATATACAATTTTAAGTATGTGTACAATTACTTAAAATAATTCTGTCAACGGGAACAGATGGAGTGTAAAAAAAAATATACAAAAATTGTTAATTTATTAATAAAAATATCAAATATGGAATATAAAATATAATATTTAAAATATAAAATATAAAATAAAATATTTAAATATAATACATAAGTATAATAAATGAAATATAAAAAAAATAAAATATAATATAGTATGAAATATATAATTTTAAATATATATAATAAAAAAATAAAATAAAATAAACTATAAAACTATATATATATATATATATATAAAATAATGAAAAAACGAGTGTTATGCAGTTGTCTTCCTTGTTAAATTTGGCTCCCTATTCATTAAATAATTCTGTTTAGAACCCTACGAAAATTTAAAGTATTTTAAATCGCCTTAGGAAAACTGCGTAATTAATTACTCGAAGGTCTGAATAGTTTTCAAAGTGCATTTATTACTCTGTTATGCACAGAACTAACTTGGTTATGTTATCAATCTTTGAAGTTAGTTTACTTTGAACAAGTTCTCAAGTTGTTGTGGCGCAGTGCGTATTTCCAATTAGCTCTATTATACTACTTTGATAATTTTTATATGCTGACAACTTTTTATAATTGTGTCCTTTGTTGCTTTGTTTCTAGTCACAAAGCACTGCGCTCTATCAATTATAAAAGATACTGTGCAACTGAGCATGAAATTAGCTGCGTGTGCTGTCGCCCTTTCAGTACAGTAGTCGCTCGCTAAGTAACCCTGACTTTAGACTGGCGTACACGGTCAGCGCTGTGGTAGTCACAGTCGATATCATTTCATTTCATTTCATGTTTATACATACATATTTATTCTACTACCTATATTAATTTATGCATTCTCTGTTGATTGCCTGCGTTACAGTTGACAAGTTTTCGCCCCGTTCTAGGGTGGGTGGACTCCACTCCTCCGTTCAGTTGGAATATTATAGGTATAGGTAGAGCTTGTCGTCGTCAACTTTATGGTAGTTAATGAGTTGTAATGGTTTCTTATTTCCATGTTCTCTTGTCTCTTGCTTTATGACATTGCGGCATTGATTAATTTTCAGAACCAATAACTACTAGCTGACATTATGCAGCCTTTCTCATTTTATGATATATACATAAACAGAAATATCTATAATTCATTTATCTTCATAGCTCTTGCTGGCATTTATCTAATGTTTATTCTTTGTATTTCTTCATTTTGCAGACGTCGCGGCAATTGCGCAACAAATAATATTTCTGTCTAAAGGTGAGTTCAACTTTCAAAACCGCAAATAGAAAAAAATAAAAATAATTTGAAAATATCTAAATTTAATAATTAATTAAACACGTTGTAGGCGTATCGAATGGCAAATATTCTTATGCACGAGCTTGTGTCGGTCTGGGTCACTCAGGGGTTAATAGTTCATTGACTTGGCTCATGTTTGGCTATATACGATATATCATGTCTAATGAAGATTTAATTAAACACAAAGCTGTGCGAGCCTTGTGAGAGTAGGTAGGCTTCAGATAGTGTGTTAAATATTTGAATATATTTGGATATATAATCATGTTATGTAATCCACTAGTCGAATAATAATTTGCATTTAATTTGTTTGAATTTTGCATAATAATTGCTAGAAAATATCACAATTCTCTTGATATATATTTAACATTATTTCGTAATTTAAATTAAATTTTTTTAAAGATAAAAGTAATTTTAAAATATTTAACATTCATACAGCACGTGTTAAACTACTTCATTTCTTGCCCAGTCTCAACACTGTTTTTCCTACCATATCATATTCAGTGCGGCACACAAAATTCCATTCAGATCTTATCTAACGCTAATCAAGTTGCCTGCTCCACTGACCCAGTCAGTGACCAAGCTCCGTCACAGTTGATAGCGTGCATAGTGCACATGTAACAATCATAAATTCTTTCATAAATACCGACGCCTTAAATGTGTATACGAAAAGATAAAAGCGAGAACTCTAATCATTTCAATACAAAACTTGGCTGCATCTGGCGGGGCACAGACAGCGCAGTTATCAGCGCTTGGTGGTTGTGTATTGACTCAGTCAGGCGGCCAGCTGCCGACCCAGTTGCCAGCTGTTGGTGGCTACTGCTTAATCAGCGCATTTGAGAATGTAATAGAAAGGCGCTAGGTTCACGGTTCATTCAACTCATGCACAAATGCAGACAGAAGCTGCCTGCTTTGGCATGCAAAAATTGTAATGCACTGCTCGATGATGAGTGCTTCCTGTATGATAAATGCTTGCCAGCCAGTCGCACATACACACACACACACTCACATACACATACTCCACTACATACTCCCCCAATGCAAATATCTATATATGTGTGTCAAGTTATTGTTTGCAACTTCATAGACACTCGCTGCCGCGAGATACTTTTCTATGGTATGCTGCTGTTGCTGACGCTGTCATTGAGCTGGGCTTTTGTTTAGCTTAGCTGCACGCCCTTTCAAGGCAGCTGCGCATTGTGAGACTTTTGAGGAAAAACTTGTACACCCATATAGCGTATATATAGGTTCTTCTAATTAAAAGTTTTATGCTGACAGCAGCGCGCCTACTGTGCCAGAGGCTTTACGTACGTCTGCCGGCTTATTATATTATATGTTTAGCGAATTTTCCACTTTGCGGCGCCTTATTAAACAAACCAATAAATACAACTTGGAAAAACTTTGGCTCCAAGTTGTGGCCAGGGCAAGGGCGTAGGCGTAGGCGTTGGCCTGGGCGTGTGTGCAGGCATTTGACAGCCCAGGAAAACACGTTCAGCACCACATGAGGTCGCCACTTCTCACGGATCCGCGCTCCTAAGTCGCTTGTTTGTTTTGTTTTCTTATACTTTATTTATATTCTTTTCGGTGTTCTTCTTTTCATATGTATATAATTTTCTCTTCGCCTTGGTTTTATGCGTTCTTTTATTATTTTGCCCAATTCGCGCGCGCGCAACTTGTCAAGAATTTCAATGAGTTCGTTTCCCTTTCGGTAGTCGCTCGACTGGTGGTCGGTTGGTGGTGGAGGTGGCTCAGTGGTGCGGTGGCCAAAGCAACGGGCAGCTGTATTAAAGTAGAACCTGTTGAATTATTGGTGTGATTCAGCAAGAAGTAACAAAACGACAAAAACGAAATAGATAAACAATGGGATAGAAATGAAGAAATATGTTGAGAAAATGTAAAACAGCTGGAAGCTGCTGATCAGGCTGCTGCTTAAAGAGACACCATTTATGCCTAGCATATTAGCATATGAAACTAAAATATAGATCGATAAGTGTTTGTATCGATCAAACTATAGAAGCTATGAATAAATGAATTATGAACCTGTATAGCATGGAGAGTTTAAAAGTTTTATATATGTATATATAGATTTTTCATCGATTATTATTAGCAATTGTATAATTATATAAAATTTATATAACATAGATTCATATAGATAGATAGCTCTTAAGAATATAAATACATGCCTGATAATATTTATATATTTATTGATTACTATATGTAATTTTATCTACTGGATAGATTTCAGTTTCATTATGTTTTCACCACTAAAGAAAACAGATATATCTATATTTATAACAGCAAATTATATTGGGCTCTTATCGATTTTAATCGAAAAACAAAAATTCTAATATAATTAATTTAATAATGTTAAACGATAAATATATATTTTTAACTATCAAAATATATATTTTAATTATAAAATATTATCTAAATATTTGCCAAGTGCAAACATTGTCTCGCAACTTCGCTTAGCTCCTCGTTTCAAATATACTTATAAAAATTACTTATCGACCCATTGTCACCTTCGAATTTTGCTGACTCAAAGCAACATTTGGCATTCCCCCAAAAAGTCGTTTGCCAAAATCGAAGCGTAGCAAAAGCGCAAAATAAGACATTTTTCCAACCAAATATGGTTAATTGTTATTTAGTGAGTTTGGAATAGCCGACAACACCTGTGCCCAGTTCGTACTATGAATAATCAAATGCTAAAGCCATTAAGTTAAAAGAGGAACATATAAACTGGAAATGAACTTTTTGTAATGCATTGCGTCACACCACAAACTTTAAAGTGTGGAGTGTGCGGCGATATTTGGGGCTGGGGGCATGTGGCAAGTTGTTGACATTTTATGGAGCCCACAATTTGAATGCTTTGGCCCTTTTGGCAGCGACTGCGACCAGCCAGCTACAGCACAATGTCGTTGCAACATTTTATAGTCCAATTACATGCAACGCTGAGCCGCCAAGAACATTGAGCCAAATATCGCGCATCCATCACATGCTAAACGCACATCATGTAAATTGTTAGCAGCTCAAGTCAACGACGGAGTCCGAATCAGAGACGGCCTGCGTCTATCATTAAGCTGTCGTAAATCACAAGTAATTGACATTATACAATGTGCACGGACTGAGGCAGAGGCAGCCAAAGAGCTGAGGCTGCCAGAGCCGCGCAGCCAGTCAAGCAAATAAGCAACAATTACCCACCGAGATAGCAAACAAAATGCACGTAGCAACAATTAAGCTAAACATATTACATGTAAGCACATGCTTCAATGATGATTGCGACTAGCCTCACATTTAGATCCAATGCACAGAAAGAGTAGCTGAAAAACAAAAAGAACAAAATAGAAGATGGCAATTTAAAAGTGAATGAGGCAGATATATGTATGTATAAAGGAATATTGCTGGAGGCATACATAAATCTTAAAATCGGTTGATATGTAAAAGAAGATATAGCTGCTTGTACTGAATTCCTAATTTAAATTTTATTATCAATAGTGAATGAGCTACAGTGATCTATATTCTACTCAAATGAGTGAGCTAATTTCACATTTTGTTTGACTTCACCCAACTTTAAAATATGTGTAACATTTACTTAGATCACTCGAAATTTTTTACATTTTTAGTTTTTCCTTTGGTATATGCTATGCAACAATTTGGCATAGATACGAGCAGAGAGTGAGCATCTACACAAGATTGCGATTGCTCGCTAGCTGAAATGCACAATTAAAATGCAAAAGCAACAACAAGCAGTGAGGGGGAGATAGAGAACAATAGACGTACGTCTGGTATTTTTAGACTGACACACTAAACAAAAGACGAGCCAAAGGCAGCGCATCGCCTCCACCCTTAATCTCAACTCAATCTCAGCCGCTCACCCTCTGCAGTAGAGTGATAGAAGATAGACAAGGCGTCTTTATCGCAGTATTACGAAATGCTGCCAACAGTTGTGAGCGTGATTCTATATAGAATTCGCACGATGCTCGACAGCTAGGGGAGATATATATATATATATATGTATATATAGTACACGTATATATATATATAAATAAACAGCAGCGCGGAGACGTAATCGCGAGTGTTAGCTATTAGCTAATAGTCACAGATGACGCTGCAAAGGCGGCCGAAGGTCTGCCAGAAAGGTGGTCAAGGTTTGATAATATCGCATAAATCGTCAATCAAGCTTATCGCCAAAAATATATAAATAAAATATAAAGAAACGATTAATATGTGGTAAACTGCATAGGCTGACATTTCTCACGTTGTTATCGCTTAATATTGAACAGGAAATCGCATATCAGAAAATATTAATACAACTATAGATACATAAATATATTTGTATATTTCTTGATATAGTCGGAAAGGTAACGCCACATGTGCCGCTGGCCATGGAGAATGAAAAACAAAACACGGCAGTTGTATGTAAATAAAGCTGATTGTTCGCAAATTATGATCAAAAGAAATGACGAGTTCTTTTTCATTCTTTCTGCTTCTTTTCTCTTTTTGTTTGTTTTTTGTTTTGTCGGGTTCTTGGGCTGTTGACTCTCTCAATGGGGCATTGCTCGATATGAATATTTGCGTATTAATCGTCTATGTCGGGCATTTCATATGAGTGCTTGGAGAACTATTTGTATGCAATGCATTGTGGCTACAGTAACTGTTTATTCACTTGAAAAAAAGCGAAAAATTTACAATAATTTTAAATAGTAATAAATATGCAGGTAAATATTTATTTAAGTATTGTGGTTTTAAGTCGAGTTATTCGCGGCGTTCATTCGTTTATGATTAATATAAAAGCTTTGGCAATTTCAATTGAAAATCGTTTTGTAAACTTTTAATTTTATATAACCCTTTCAGAAAAAAATATAAACACTCAGTGCCTAAACATTTCTTAAGAACTCCGAAATATTACAGATGAAATGTGTTTCAAATAATTTAAAATTATTCCAATTTATATATTATCACTT